GAGGCTGCGGGCAGCTTCGCAGCCAGCGCTCAACCGCTGCGCCACCAGGGGAGGCCCTGTAGTCAAATTTTAAAAAGACTAAGTATACTTAACGCAATTTCATGTGGTAGTTTAAGACACAGACTTTGGAATTACATGAGTTTCAATCTTAGCTCTATGAACTTAGGAACATAGTTTCCTCTTGCTAAAACTCAGCTTCTGAGTCTTCATTATGGGAACTCATAAAATTTCCTCAAGGACATAAGAATGTGAGCACATCTAAAGCATCTTGTACAAGAGATGTAGACAAATCTTTTGTCAATGCTTACAAATTACAATTGTTCTTTTACCTAAACCAAGCCTAACTATGTTGGTTTTACTGAACCAACTGTGTTTCTCACTCTTACTTCCTTTAACCCTAGTCCCTGTCCTCCAGTTTTCCTTGCAAGATTCCTGAATATCAAGAATTAAGAACTATCACTGACTTAAGTGAGACTCAGAAGAGATCCTATGTGTGGGTAGTATTTTAGCAATTATTTATTGCATACCTGTGATAGCACCATGTGAAGTTTGCGGGAAATGCCCTGTCACCCTCTTACAGGGTTCCAGGTAAAGATTAATAGGATGGAATGCATGACAGAGCAGAAAAGTGAATCTTCCAATATGCTGGGAAAAAAGAGTTGAAGGCAAGCAAAATCTTGGGGAATAAGATTTAGACAGATTATATACATTTAGCCAATATGATGTATAGTGGCAATTTGCATTGCTCATGATTAATTATAGATACTAGAAAACTAAGAATTAACATAAATATAATAAATATTTTTTAATTTTAAAGAAAAATCTTGATTTAAAATACAATACTTCCTTGACATTCATAGAGAGGATACGTCCAAGGAGTTTAGAAATCCTGCATTCCTAAACAGCCCTTTTATTAAATACACATGTAAGAGTTAGAAATGACAGAGACACATTGAAAAATGCATATTGAGGGTCCTCCCTGGTGACGCAAGGGGTTAAGACGCAACACTATGAAACTATCGGCAGCCACTGCGGCAAGAGTTCGATCCCCAGCCAGGGCCCTGACCCACATGGTGCAGCAGACCTCTCCTGTCTCTCCCACTGCTCCCCTCAGCAGTGTATTTTTGTCAATCTGCCTGTTCTGTTCCCCACTCTGTCTCTGGTGAATACTCTCACCCCCATACCTCTGGCCTGCACCCCAGTTCTTATATGCATCAATAAATAAAAATAAATCTTAAAAAAAAAAGAAAAATGCATACAGAGCAATTACTTAGATCATTGACTAACTAGATGATTAACCATAGATCTTGATTCAAACTCTGTCTCAACAATGTATTTATTCTTCTGTTTTTGGTATAGTATTCTATAACTATCAACTAGGTCACGGTGATTGATAATGATATCAAGTCCACACACACAGTTAACATTTCTATTGATTACTGGCATGTTATTTTCAACTATATTTGTGAATATATCTAGTTCTTTCAGTTCTCTTGTGTTACTAATGTGTTTCTGTTGCTCTTTTATTGGGTGCATACACATTTAAGACTTGTTTTAGTGTTATTAAAAATTATTCCTTATTTCTAGCAATTATCATTTTCTTGATCAGCCTATATTAATACAGAAGTTCCAGTTTTTCAACTTCTTTTCTCATATTTTCATGGTATATGTTTTTCTGTCCTTTTTATTTCCTCTGTATTTTTATATTTAAAATAGATTTCACATAGTTAACATCAAGTTGAGTGTTGCTTTTATATCCAGTCTGAAAATTCATGACTTTAATTGCTATATTTAATCTCTTCTTGCTATTGCTATGGTTGGACTTAAGTTCAGTATTTTGTTATTTTCTATTCTTTTGGTTCTTCTTTTCCTGCCTTCTTTTAAATTAACTGAGTATTGTTAGTATTTTTTAATCTCTATTGAATTATTAGCTAAACATGTTTGCTTTACTTGTGTAGTGATCTCTCTGGGATTTAGAATGTGCATTTTTAACTTATCATTGTCTTGCTTAATACAGCATTATCGTACTCTATGTATCATGAAGGGAATATAACACATACTTCAATTTCCTCTCTCCCTACCATATTATTCTACCACATTTTATTTTTCCATGTTATAATCCCCATAATATACTTATTATTTTTGGTTTTGACTATAATATTCCTTTTCTTTTTATTAAAAATTGATGAAGTCTTGTTTGTAATCCATTTTCTTCAGTCTAAAGAATTTTTCCATAACATTTCTTGTGGTACAACTGTTGACAACTTCTCTTAGGTTTTGTTTGAGAATTTCTTAATTTCACTTTTATTTTTTCATATTTTTGTGGGTGATAGAATTCTAGTTTGACATTTTTTTATTGAGGTAACATTGGCTTACAACACTATATGATTTAGAGATACAGGTTCACTGTGTGTTACGGCACTACACCCACCACCAGAACACCAATAGTACCCCACTGTAGTCCATGGGCACCCTCCTTTGCTCTTACCCTCACCTTCCCCCTCTGCTAGCCTCGATTCTATGATAAGATTTCCAGGGTTTGTTTGGTTTAATTTTATCAGTTCCTTTGTTTTGTTTCTCTATATTCTACATACAAGTGAAATCATCCAGTATTTGTCCTTCGCCTTCTGACTTATTTCTCTTAACATAATCCCCTCCAGTTCTACCCATCTTGTCACTAATGGCAAGATTTCTTTTTTTCTTTTTTTTGTAACTGAGTAGTACTGCATTATTTATGTAAACCTCATCATCTTAACCAATGGAAGATTTCTTGATATTAGCCCATAGCTCATTAAAGTTATATTCAGTTTTTTCCCCAGTCTGTTCCTTCTGTTCTTTTTATGGTCAGATTTGTTTTCAAGAGCAATGATCTTTTCTTTTGCAGTGACTTTTTCATTTCAGAATTATATTTTCTCTAGTTTTAGAAGTTCTCTGGTTCTTTTTTAATAGTTTTCAATTGTCATGTTATCTTTCATATCCTTAAACATATTTATAATAGTTGTTTCATAGTTCTTGTCTACTAATTCTATCATATTTGTCTTTTCCAAGTTAACTTCTACTTGATTTTTTTCTCCTTCTTGATGTTTAGTACATTTTAATTTCATTCTGGACTTTGTGAGTGCTATATTGTATTACAAAATGCATGCATGCTATTGTGATTTATCAATGGCTAGAGTAGAAGAATTCATTCATCTGTTTATCGTCCAATTAGTGCACAAGAAGACTGTACCTAGAGTCCAAGCATTTCTTCCTCTTGGACATCAGGACCTATAAAACAACATAGATCGTGATGTGTACTACGAGTGGCAGAAACAAGAACGACAGAAAAACTAGGAGTAAAATAACTAGCCTCAGATGTGGAAAGGCTTTGTAGAAAAAAGAATGACTTTAGTCAAGCCATCATAGACAGTATTCCAGCTGCTAGAAGTTTAAAAAACTAAGCTTTCAGACCAAGCACTAACATAAGCAAAGGTAGTGAAATGGAGAGCATGTTGATAGATACAGCTAAATGCCAGGACTTTCAGCCATTCTTTTATTACATTTACTAAACATCTATTGTCCAGGCACTGAGCACAAAGCAGGTGATACAGGGTTAGGGATTCAGCAAAGCCATGTTTGAATCACAATCTACCACTTACTGGCTATGTGATTGAAGATACCTCACTTAACCAGGGCTTCAGTTTTAAGCAATTTAAAATAAAGATGCTGGTTTTTTATAATTATTGTAGAGCTTAAATGAGATAATTTCTGTGAAGTACTCCAATCAGCACTCTCAATCTAGTGAAGAAGACAAGCAAATAAGTAACTGATCTTGCATGCTGTGAAAACACAGGAAGGAAAGGGACTGTCTCTGCCTGAGGATTTCTTGCAAGTCTTCGCTGAAAGACTGATGCTTGATCTGGGGTTGAGGGTAAGAATGCATGTGTAAACCTCAGGGAAGCTGGGAAACATTCTTCTTAGGATGACGTTTCAAACACTGAATCCCCCTTATAATCTGTGTAAAATTGAGGGACAGGGAGTGACAGACAAGATGAGAAGGGTGACCATAAATGCACCTATAGATAGCTAAAAATAACCTTTCACTTCTACCCCAAAACACTTAGTTCAATGTCAGATTCTTCTACTGAGAAAAGGCAAGAAACCTTCTGTGCTGAGCTCTCCTCTACTGAGATGTAAACAAGTTTGCGTGAGAACTTCAGCAGACTTCCTATATGTTTTCTTCCTTGCAGACGTCTGGAACCAGGAGTGAGAGTGAGACAAACTCAAGAAGTGTAGTTGCTTTTCCTATTCTCATTTGAAATATATTGCTTAGAGGGCAGACATTAACAAGACATGATCGGTTCCTTTAAAAATAGAAGTCACATGGGGTGCAGGTGCCCTTTTGAATTAATGTTTCTGTGTCCTTTGGGTAAATACCTAGGAGTGGAATTGCTGGATCATATGGAAGCTTTATGTGTAGTAGGTCAAGAAATCTCCACACAGCTCTCCATAGTGGTTGGACCAGTTGCACTCCCACCAGCAGTGCAGGAGAGTTCCTTTTTCTCCACATCCTCAGCATTTGTTGTTGAAGGGATCATGCTCAGCAAAATAAGCCAGAAAGAAAAAGAAAAATACCGGATGGTCTCACTCATAGCAGGAATTTAGAAAACCTAATTAAGGGGCCAGGAAAAAGACTAATTATAATAAAGTAAAAATCAAAATCAACAAGCAACTATAAACCAGAGACACACTGCCGGGGAGGTAGGGAGGGGGGAGAAGGGAGAAGGATCAAAACAAGGGGGGTGGGAATTGTATGGGGACTATAACCAAGATGAAAATGCATACGTAGTGCAAAAATGAAAAATGATGTAAAAAATATATAAAAGAAAATTAAAAAAAGAAAAAAATGAACAATGATGTAAAAAATTAAAAAAAACTAATAAAAATAGGAGTCACAGTGGTCTTGATTGATCTGTTTCATTGATGCTTTAAAGTGCTTCTCTTTTTCTATCATTTTCTAGACTGAGCACTTGCCTTTGCAGACTCAATTCAAAGAAAGAGATGGCGACAGTCTCCAGCACCCCGTGAGTAACACACTCCTGCTGTGCGGATCAGCCCAGGCACAACCAGTGACTATCTTGCTTAAGATTTCACTTTATTCACCTCTTTGCTAATTGAGTATCTGTCACACAATTATGTCACGTCCTTGAGCTTGCTTGTCCCTCTTAGAACTAATCAACTTTCATGAAACCAATAACCAGGCAGAGAGGTCAGTCCTAGAGATACCACAGAGCCTCAGGGAAATTCATTTTACGGTGTCAGCTGGTCAAGCAAGGAAGAAAGGTGAAGACCAATATATCTTTTATAATATTTTATTTCTCACTTGTGTCCAATATCAAGTCAAATTGCTTGTTCATTTCACTGTCTTTCCTTTATTCCCCCAATACTGAAACCTGAAGTTTCTTTTACTTTTGTGTTAATTGTTTTGATTTAATTCTCTGTGCCCCTCATATACACTTTCCAAGTCCATCTTGCTGATTGACTCCTGAAGTTCACAATCTTGTTCTCCAGTTAATTATAATTGATAGCAAATCCATATTTCAAAACTTGAAAAGACTGCAGTCTTCATTAGTCTCAGTTTTCTATTTAGGAGTTGCCACCACTCTTGCTCAGGTATAATAAGCAATAAATGACTGGAAATGTTAGATCGTTGAACTTTACTGTGTCATTCAATAGCTTATGGAATAATGAATCAGAGACACAGACTGTAATGCATCCTATTCTTGCCTGTTTTTACTCAACTGCTAGAAAAATTGCAAACAGATTCTCTACTAATATAGCAATGTTTAAATTTTTAGAATGGACTAAATAGCAGGAGATTTGACTATGAAGAAGAAAATCCCGTGGGGGAAGATGGGATTCAGCAGATGTACCCCCTTTACAATCAGATGTGCTACCAAGACCGGAGCCCTGGCAAGCACCATCAAAACAACGACCCTGAGAGAGTGTACATCAACCCACGAGAACATTACGTGTGATTTTCTACTTCTTTCAATGTGTGTTCTAACAAATGTTTATTCTCAGATTGGGGAGAGAAACTGAGGCCAATAATTACAGGCCTTATATAAAATAATCCAGCCTAAGTATATTGGAAATGGTAGTGACTTGGAGCCAAAAGTGAATTTCTTTCCTTCATTAAGAGTTTCTCAACTACCAACTGTGTCTCTGAACTTGACTATAGCTTTGTGTGTTTCTCTGAGAATGGTGTTTCACTACTAACATTTGGCCTACAATGGCACGTTCATTTAAAGTAGAACATCTGCCTGTGATGACAGCAGTGAGTCTCCAGAAAGAACAGCCCCAACTGGGAGTATTCACCTCGCTGGGTCTCGGGCAGGCCAGCCTGTTCATCTGTAACTCAAATGAGCAGAAAAAGGAGTTCAAAATCCCTTACACTAATTATTTAGTTGGGATTTGGCTTTCCCAGACAAGCCTAATACAATTACAATACCTGTGTACCAACAAGAGGCCTGAAGAAAGAGGCAAACTTTGCTATTTATGCAAACAACAAAAGGCAGCTTAAACCTTCAAGTATATGGGTTGCTTTGAAACTTCTGTGATGCTGCAATCTATGTTCCTCCATGATCACTAAGGTCCTGGGGATACATGCTCTTGCTGTTATCTGCCTAGTCTTGACTAGCTGTGTGCTAACTGCAATTCTTTTCTTGCTCTGCCATTGTTCCCACAGTTGTGTTCTTTACTAGCCAGTAGCCTATTTCCACTTATTAAATTCTAAAAATCCTGTCTAAATGCTGGGCAGCCTTGAGCCCCATCCTCTTCTCTGGAGTATTGTGCATAACAAGCTCAGCTTTCACTACTGAAATTTCTTTCAAATTAATCCTATCCGCATGGCTTTAGCTACTTTCTGCATTCTTCAGACTACTTATTATCCCTGTTTTATCTACCTCAGATAAGCCTGCTGGAAAATTACCATGAAATAACACCTGCTCTTAATCATCAGGTGGAATATTTGAATTTTTTTTTTAAATAACCACTTCAATATAGTGTATGTGTTCAATCCACATGGTGTCCTTTGTCCTTCCCCCTGCTTTGCTGGTCAACAAGAGTAAAGAGCTACTAAAAAGCAAATGATACAGTGATTGACTGACCTGTGTGTATCCTGCAGCACATTGGTACCTGCCAATGTCTGTCTTGAGCTTTCTCACTCCCCTTTGTCAACCTGTCCTCTCTGGGATAGAAGGTAATCATTTTCCTCAGGTGAGCAGGGGAGGGAGCATAGTGCGTGCGTAAGTGTCAATCACTCTCCTTCATATCTCAAGGAAAGCATTGTTTTACTGTATGTTCTGGAAGATTATTGGTATGTCACAGATATAAAAACCACTTCAGACTTGTCATAAACTAAGAAAGAGCAGCATAAGCACTCAAATAAAACAGTACACATTTCCCACTTAAGCTTCAAGGGGACAGGAGAATTTTCATGGAGACGTCTAACAATTTACCAGACACACAATGATTTGTGTTGTGCTAACTGTAATTCTTGTTTGTGTGTCTATTTCCTTTTTTTAGTAGCCATGCTTCATCAGATAAATTATCCAGAGGTAATACACTCTCCTCCTATTGCCTGGGTACCAACAATTCCAGAGGGAAAGGATGCTTAAATTCTAACTCAGAGCTTTAGCTAGGCAATCAGCAATTTAAATGGCTGTAGTTGTATGGAATCAAAGGGTAAATTCCAAGAATCCCATTGCTGTATCACTTGGCTACCTCAGATTTAGAGTTCATTGCTCTTTGTAGCAAGAGGACACATGAAGAAGATATTTGATTTTTATTACTTGAAAGTTCATCAGTGAGAGTATAGTTGAAGATGCAGGAATCTGTGCAATTGTTTTCCAACAGAAAGATGATATGTTTAGAGCTTACCTTGCCAGGGAAGTGTTTCATAATTACTGTTCGAAGGGAGGGGACAGAGTGCACATCACCTCCTTTAGAAAAGCTTTAAAAACATCCTACGCAATGCAGATGGTCAAGATTCCCAGTGGAAGTAGGTTGTTGAATTAGCTTCACAAAAGCACACAGTGAACTGGTGGGCAATAGAGATAGGTTCCTGGTACTTGGGGTTGAGATTTGGAAGCACTGGGTTTCAGGAGCCTTTTAACCTGTCTTCAGCTCCCTCCCTACAAAGAAGAACCCACTGTCAACTTTTTACCTTTCTTGATATAGAACAGAAATGTCAGAATCTAGACACCCCTCACACAGCCAGCTACTTCAGTATCTTCTTTGCTTCTCTGTCAGCTTTATTTTTTTAACAAACTGGTAGATTTTATGGCTGCCCGAGTATGGGTCTCATAAACTATATAATTGCTTATCCTGGTGCCTCCCATCTGCTCTCTCTAAATACTGAGTAGAATAGAAAGGAGCTTTAAAAGGGTTTGATCAACCAGCGCCCTCAACCAAAAATGCCATCCAAATTTAGCCTGTTGATCTCTAAGTTTGGAGCCTAGACTACTTGGCGATGGCCATTTAAATTTGGAAGTTAGATTCTTAAAGGTCAGTGAGTGAGGATTAGGCTGTAAGCCACAGCTGGTACTAGATACTCTTCCCATAACTGATATACTAAAACACACTGAAACAGAAATAAATCCCCAGAGCACTTATCCACTTATGGTTGCAGCTTTGCATTTCAAAGGGGGGAGTGTTCAATCTCCTCTTAAACACACAGCCTTCACTGCCTATTTTGTAGGCATCCAAGATCAAGAGTGTGCCTTATTGCCACAGTACACCACACTAAAATAAAGCATCTGCAATGTCTAGGGTTGTCTGACATACTGGGATGAGAATTTAGATTAATTCTTAAATGGCAGCCATTTATTATCTCTTCTTTTTTTTTTTTTTTTCTTTTTATAGAGGCATGTTTTATTTATTTGTTTGTTTGTTCGTTTTTGTTTTATACATGCACTGGGGACAGTCAGAAGCGCGGGAGGGTGAGAGAATTCACCAGAGCCAGAGCGGGGAGCAGAGCAGGCAGAAGGACCGAAGTACACTGCTGAGGGGAGCAGCGGGCGGCAGGAGAGGTCTGCGCACCATGTGGGACCCTCCTCCACCATGTGGGACCCTCCTCCGGTGGCCGGGGAGCAGCCGGGAATTGAACCGGCGCTGCAGAGGCTGCAGGCAGCTTCGCAACCCAGCGTTCAACCGCTGCGCCACCGGGGAGGCCCCATTTATTATCTCTTCTACAAGGATTACCCTATCCCTGACCTTATATGTTCTATTTGAAGAAGTTCATACTCCTAGGACATGTAGTTTAAAATTCTTAACCAGGCTTCCCTGGTTGATTTTTTTTTTTTTTTTTTAAGCAGAGGTATAAAAGGGTGCATGAAAGAAAACCATAAGAAATGTCCATTAAGATGAAGGCAAATGAGTGTTTTTATTTTTACGTAATTTTGAACAACTCAAAATGCTCAGACTCTCACATCCTTTAGGTTAATCACAGCTGAAAAGACAACCAGCTCAATAATTAAAACCACTGCATTGCAGTTGATTTGGTGCACAAACTTCTCATTCCTCTTCCTCACGCAGCTCTTTAGTTTATACTTCTTGCCCTGTTTTGTTTGTTTCACCTCTGTTGAACAGCAAGAGATAGTTGTCCTTCCACTGTGCACAGCTGAAAAGAAAGCTGGCTGCGGGAAAGCCAGAAGAAAAAGAGAAGGCCAGGTGTACAGCAGAAATGTCAGGACCAGGACTTACCAGGGGTCTGTTCTCTGCTTCTCTTGTTCTGTGTTTAGCTAAAAAAGCCCTTTAACATCCTACAGACAAAGCTGTTTGCAGATGCTTTCTTGCTAGTTCTGTAAAATCAGAAACTACATTTGCAAACCTATTCAACTATAGATGTAGCTGACTGACTAATTGTATTAAACTTAAAGGTATTTGTGTTTTCTTCATTAAAGAAAATTGTAAACGTCCTTGGTCAATTTGGTCACTTATAATTATTAGGTTGTTTTGGTGTAGACTTTAGTAGGTAGAGGTGGATGAAAGTTCTAGGTCCCCCGTCCCAAACTCCACCAGGTGGTACTTTACACTGACAGCAGTTTTTAGGCCAGTTTCTGTCATTCATGTTTATGAGCAAGTAGACTCTGGGACAGCTTGTAATCATCTAACTGGCCTGGCAGCTTGAAAAATTCCAACTCTGTTCTCTTAGGGAAGCCAACAGTACCTTACACAAAAGGCTTTTTATTCAATAACATTCCAGCAGAGTCAGTGTCAGGTGACTTGACTGTGTTTAACTTCTACACACAAGTTAGTATTCTGAGAATCCTATTGCTGTTGACTTGCTAGAGTCTTACACGCTATTCCTAGAAGGGCTGGAGTACCCTACGGTATTGGGGCCAGTCCATATGCCTCTAACACCACCCACTAATTTGATCATTAAAAATAATCACTCATTAACAGTCTCTGGTGTTGTGCTACAGATAAAACTCTTGTAGTAGTAGTCTCTGGAGTGACTTAGAGTTTTTCGCATGCTAACGAACAACCTTTTGAGGGTACATTCCCATAGGACACTTCACATGTTAACTAATCACCATATTTAATATGCCAAATAATTTAAATTATATAGGATGTAATAGTTTGTCAAGGACTTCTCATATTATCACTCTCACATTCGTGTAAAGTAGATGCATTCACTGCTCTAAAGTCAACCACCAACACAATAGTCTCACTGGCATTTCTCTTAGTGATAGCCTATTCCTTCTTGTGTGTGAGGGTGTGTCAGAGACAGTTACAGCGAGGTCAACTAAAACGTAGCAGTTGAAAAAATAATTGTGGTTCACCCAAAAGAACTCGCACATTTGCAAAGATCTCACTATTTCATGCCTATTTTATTGGATTTGCTTTAATATTATCTCAGCAAAAAGATTCGAGCTAGGTATAGAGTGGACTTATTTACCTGGCAGCTGAAATACATAAGGTATAAAATTTATTTCTTCTATATTTCCGGTAGGTTATTCTCTGCTCAAATTTCAGTTTGTGGCAATTTAGAGCTGAGCGTACTCGAATAAAAGAGAATGTAAAAAATTCAGGTGATACTAAACATTGTTGTATCATACATTATCAATTTATGTGGCATCATACATTAGTATCACACATTATCATTCCGTGATGGGGAAGTTCCTTCTATATCTCAGGGAGATGGGAAACCACCGTTGACAAGTGATTCTCCATGCCACTGGTTAGGAATTAGTCCTGTCCTTTGGGTCATTCCCCAGAGTGTTCTAATCAGTGTTTGGGGGCTTTGTCCATGATAGGAATCAAATTACATGTCTCTCTGCACCAAGAAGTGCTAGTTATTTCTACATTCTTTACCTCTACCTCTGAGGGATAAATGCCCACCTCCCAGGGGAATAGATGTTGTGAATGTTGTTGCCACATATATTTATGAAAAGCAGCAATATCTCCAGGAATAGACAATGGGCAGTGTCAAGTCCTCTGAGTGCTTCCATTCTAGAACTGTGTTGTTTAGAGTTGCCACTTGTACATGTTGTACACAGGAGAGACAAGTCATTTGGGCCAGGGAAGATAAACTCTTCGACTTAGAATTATTATTAGGTGTAATAATAATATTTCAGTAAACAGAAATAAGCTTTCAGAGATATTTTAATCTTTTACTCCATCTGTAGGTAAGAGACCAAAGAGAGGCCTACTCCAAGTTTTTTTCCAGAACTGCCATTTACAGTTTATGTTCAGGTCCCTAAATTTATGTTCAGATCCCCAGCAGGATCCTCAGTCTCATGGCCTGAATTTGTTCTGTGTATTATCACAGGATGGGATTTAGCTATGAAGGTCAATTGGAGGAGACCTTGGAAGCCTCCCTGGGAACCGAGAACATCAGATTTGCTGCACTGGCTTAAAACTGTGGCCTCTTATACTCCAAATATGGCTGACAACCATGATGAGATGTTTTATGTGTTTCCTTCAGAGGTTCAGAATATACTTCAGACATTCCTAATGGCCCTTCCTAACTCATAGTAGACCTATGAAGCCCAGGGTTACATCCGATTTTCTAAGTGAATGGACACCATTGTTTTGGTTTTCAATACTCTTTCCAATAATGGCCAGTATTTTTTTTTTAATCCACCCTAACAAATCGATCAGGCTAAATTAAATTCCTCTCTCAAGTCACGATGATGGCTCAGCGCCCATTATATTTCAGCTACAGGCAGCAGTGTTTTTATATGAAATGCATTAGTTGCACGTGCCCACACAGTGACTCATTTATGTCTCTGCTTTTTCATGTGGTCTTAGTAGAACTTATTGCATATATTCCTTTTAACTGAGTATTTCAACACCCAGAAGAGCATTTGTTATCTTAGGTTTCATTGTGTACTTAAAATTCCAAGTGCTTTGTAAAAAAAAAAAAAAAAAGTTAAGTAGCTGATGTTTGCTACTGGATCCCTGGATTATTCCACTTGTCTATCCAGAAAAGTTCCTGTTTATCCTCTACCTTCGGTATCTATTTCTAAGCCAACTCTGTTAAGACATAACATCTGCTCCAGCCTATTCCCTCTCCGTGTGGCCCTAACCTCTTAGCTTCTTTACTTGTCAGTTTCACCCCTGTAAATTAGTACTGTCTACCTCACAGGGTTTTATGGAGGGAAAAAATAGGACATTTAAGGGTAGCATAGTCTTCAAGAGAGGTCCTACTTTTAAAGTGATTTTATAAAAGTACTTGGTTAGAAATGAGAAACTCTATAGCTATTATTTTTTTTTTCCTATTCCTCTTGTGCTATTTTTGTTTCTGAAAAGTGATCTCTGTCTGAATAGAGTCTTTATGCTGGTTTTAACTTTCTTCCTATTAACCCTTTCACACTAAATTTGTCCTATGTATCTTATCAGGCTCTGAACTTGACTTGTGAGACCAAAATGAATTGTCTCACAATGAATCCCAAATGTTTTTCCTCCCATCTTTGAAAAAATTAGTGTCTTCCAAAAAGAGGCATCTGTCTGTGCACACAAGGAGTCATTGACTAATGAAGTCTCACTCTGACCCTGACAAGATTTTCCTGGGTGCCTCAGTTGTTCCTGTGTTAACTGAGGTTCACTCTGTGATCACAGCACCTCGGTGTTGTTGTGAGTCTTGAGTAATAAATGATGAAGAGCATTTTGCAAATATCATGTCCTCTATAAATGCATAGCGAATAACTAGAAAAGTTTAAAGTAGAAGTGTGTTTTTGTGTAGCTCATTTCAGAATACTGATCTCCCATTGTTTTCAAATAAATGTCCTACTAGTTCAGTCTGAGAAAAAAAAAAAGAAAGGTCTTACTACCTATTCTTTTGTTTAAGTGAAATTTTAGTTTCTAGTCATTTCAATTTCTTTTGATGTTTAGGCAGAGATCAGTAGCATATATTCTTGCTTGTCAGAAAATACACAAGTTGTATTTTAAATATTAAAAATGAAAGGGTCAGATAATATCATAGTGGGCAGGGAAGAGGAATCTAGCTCCAACATGGTGAAATACAGAAGTATGAATATTAGTTTTGATTTTGAGATTATAAGTAGTAGATGTTAATGTGTTATTTCTAGATAGTCTTTATTTTCAAGTTGCCAGAAATTGTCATATTTTTGCAGTTTCGAATTCTGATTTTTGACATGACATGATTTGAATAAAGTTTTTATCAACTAAAGTTTTTCATTTGCATTGTAATCAATGAATTGATTTTTAAGGTTCATATGAAGTTAATAAGCTCATTAAATGACTGTAAAATTCAAGACTTAAAGAACATCTTTCCTAAAAACAGTTTCTATACTGGAGTACTTTTTTTAAAAAAAAGATTAAAAAAATAGTAACAAGTGCTTTTGTACTTCATGTGGTATCCAAAATGGCTTTTAAAACATTTACAAGCTATTGTAATTGCTTGTGAAAATTATTTAATACTTTTTTAATGAAGCTAAATTTATTCCACTTAAAAATTGTTGTTCATTCCTGATTAATCCTTAGATGTTAAAATAT